CACATTCTTTGGCAAAGTATCATAAGAATGATCTCTAAGGCACTTTTCCAAAACATAATCTGAACCAGGCTGTCATAATCTGCATTGCTCTCAGCACCACTGTATTCCATGCTGTTTAAAATAGTTCATTAAAACTCACTTAAATCATTCAACTGCTTTCAAATACAAAGCCCCAAAGTCCACATTAAACTGATAAGCAGAATGGTCAGACCTGTCACAGCAAAATTCTACTACTCCTGGTAGCAACTAGTCTTAGTTAGGGTTTCTATTGCTGTGATGAAACACTATTACCAAAAAGCAAGCAGGGGAGGAAAGGCTTTATTTGGCTTACACTTCCACATCGCTGAAGGATGTCAGGACAGGAACTCAAACAGGGCAGGAACCTGGAGGCAGGAGCTGATGCAGAGGCCATGGAGGAGTTATGTATGCATGGCATGCTTACTGGTTTACGCCTCACGGCTTGCTCAGCCTGGTTTCTTATAGAGCCCAGGGCCACCAGCCCAGGGATGGTATCACCCACCATGAACTGGGACCTCTACATCAACCACTAATTCAGAAAGGGTTTACAGCTGGATCTTATGGCAGCATTTTCTCAGTTGAGGGTCCTTCCCCTCTGAAGACTGTAGCTTGTGTCAAGTTGATATAAAACTAGCCAGGTCAGTGAGGTAGTATCATAAAGAAAGAGCACTGAGCATAAGTCTTCAAGTAATAAATTATTGAAAAAAATGAACATAAAGAATTCATTCTCTTTGAAGGAATACCTTGTCAGCCTAGATATAAGGGGAGGGCCTTGTCCTGCCTCAAAGTGATGTGCCAGACTTCATTGACTCCCCATGGAAAGCCTTCCTCTTTCTGAAGAGTGGATAGGGCTGTTGTTGGGGGAAGGTAAAGAGAGCAGGAGGAGGGGAGGGAGCAGAAAATGGGATTGGTAAGTAAAATGAGAAAAGATTGTTTTAAAACTCAAAATGATACAAAATTAAAGAATTAAAGTTTGCCAGGCAGTGATGGTGCATTCCTTTAATCCTCACTGTCAGGATTAATGAAGCAGAGGTAGATGGAGCACTGTGAGATCAAGGCCAGAATGGTCTACAGAGTGAGTTCAGCACAGCCAAGATTGTTTCACAGAGAAGCCCTGTCTTGAAAGAAAACAACAAAAAAAGAATTAAAGTTCAAAAGAAAAAGGCCCCATACCAGCAACAGGAAGTGATTGCCTCATAGGATGAAATTTCACAGAGTTCAAACAAGTTGTCTCAGGGAAATTAACCTGTGCTTATTTCCTAGCATTTGCTTCAATTTTCTTTAAAACTAGAGGACTATTATAGAAAAAGCATGGAGAAGCTTAGTTTCTTCCTACTTTGTAGTTTGGCCAAATTATAAAGAAGTGAATTTTTCCTTACCAACTTTAGTTTTCTAGTTTCTTTTAAAATACAGGTGAAATGGGCCAAAGATTTGTGGATCTAAGTGCCTTGTAACAAATATATTTTTAAATGAATTAAAAACAAATATAGTACCCTTAAGGTAAATTATGCTGTATATTTAGCTGTCCATATTAATTTATTTACTTTTGGATCTCAACAGTGAAGAAGCCCAGAATTTTAGGTCCTAAGGTCTAGAAAAGAATCAACTCAGGAATTAATTGATTAAGTATAAAAATTTAAAGGAATGGTGAAAATAGAGAAAGGAAATTAATTCAGTATGGTCTCATAATATTTAATCTAGTTTTGGTTTATTAACATTAGCTATGGGTTTAAGTAGAGAAATAATTGGGTCAGAGGACAAGAGTTATGCATAATTAATCAGTCCTAATCTAGTTATGGTCTGGTTAGTCATTGACTAAGTTCTGGTATTGAAAGGTGTTTTTAATAAGCACTTAAGGGTCGTCTATGTTGTTGAGTTTGGAGAGGGCTTCCAGGCCATGGTAGACTGCAATCTCTGACCAACAAGGACTCCCAGCATATAGCCTGATTCTATGGAGGCATTTTCTCAATTGAGGTTTCCTTATTTCAGATAACTCTAGCTTTTGTCAAGTTGATGTAAAACTATCCCACATGAGTTCAGTTATGAACCTAAGTATGATTTGTATGCAGTGTGACTTCTGACATATGATTTGTAACATTTTTATTACCTCTTTAATTTTTGGATATTCTATCTACCTAAATTTTCATGTCTTGGTCTTCGTTTTGGTAATATAATGGTCTTTTCATTAGTATCTTCAGCTGCAGGTAGAGTTTTCATCGTAGATTATTTTGGTAGAGGAAATTATTAGATCTTCACAATAGTTCAACTACTAGAAATTAGTTGTAAGTCTAACTGTTTGAAATAATAAGATACTGTGTTTATGAAACAAAATCAAATGAGTGATTTCCTTGAGTACAAAATGCAAAATGGTGTTTAATAAAGATACATTTATTTACATGTACTAAAAACTATAAATATAAAATATTATTGTAAAATAAAGTACCAAAATGAATATTTTGAGTCCAAGTGACATTCAAATGATCTAAATATTCTTATTCTGTTTAGTAAAACTCACTCATCAAAAGGTGCATTGTAATTTATTAACTGCTGAGCCAACTCCCCAGCCCCTATTCTAGAACAATTTTTTCCTAAAAGGGTATATTACCTTGGTGAAAGAATTCAACCTCTTTGAACTTTAGTTTCCACATAGAAGAAATGGGAGGTAGAATTCAAGTTTCTCAATTTCTTTACATCTCAAATTGGTGACTATTAGTACTGATGGGGTCTTTATAGAGACTGTAACTTATTTGGCATTTATAACCATTCCCTTACTAGGATACAGACACGACCATTGGTTGCCATCAGCTGAAGTGAGCCCTTCCACAGTCTGACAAACTGGTTGTATCAACCTTCTAAAAATCAAAAGGATGCAATTGTTTGTTTTATGACTCTATGTGTCTCTGAAGAAGTAAATTAAATGCAAGAAATTTGGGTACCTGGTCTACACAGATAGCTCAGGAGTTAAGAGCACTTGTTATTCTTGCAGAGGATTGGGTTCAGTTCACAGCACCTACATAGTAGTTCAAAACCATCCATAAATCCTGTTCCAGGGACTCTGATGCCTTTTTTCTGACCTCCATGGGCACCAGACGAGCACATGGTGTACATACATACATGCAGGCAAAACACTCATACACATAAAATAAAATAAAGGTAAGGAAATTTTTAAAAATAAACTTTGGGTACCTATTAAATGCTAGGTTTAGCCAGGTCATGTTGGTACATGTCTTTAATCCCAGCACATGGGAGGCAGAGGCAGGTAGAGCTCTGTGAGTTTGAGGCCAATTTGGTCTACAGAGTGAGTCCCAGGACATCCAAGACAGAGAAACCCTGCCTTGATAAACAAACTAAAATAAAAGAAACAAATGCTAAGGGTTGAGAAAATAATTCCTTACTATATTCTCCATGGTACAGCTATTAATGGAAGACAAAAATGGAAATAGCAAAAAACAGGTATTTTCAAAACATGTTGACCTATGTGTGTAAGGCATACCACTTAGTACCTACTTGCTTAGGACAGAGCCATCCACTTATTGGCATAATGTAAAGAACCTTCTTCAAGTGTTCTAAGCCTCAAAATATAAACCCATGCTGGAAGAGGCCAATGCCTCTTGGTCTTTTGAATAAGATAAAGTGAGAAATTGGACAGTGGAGAGGGAAAATGACCAACTTTTCTGTAGAGGTGAGAAAAGGTTAAGGCATAAGACCGACAAACACCACTCCAATTGAGAGTAGCATTTTAACTATCTTAGTAGTATGACAAATAATGTCAATAATGTCTATTTAAATTATTAAATTGCTAATTAAATTATCTGGCTGCCTTCTGGGGAAATGATTTTTTTAAATCAATGTTTTGCCAAAGTAGCCTATTTAAATTTCCAAATGAAACTTTTTTCTAATTCCTTTATCGGTTTGAAAGGAATTCCTGCACATAAAATAGTAACTAAGCTTTTCAGTATTTCAATAGTCTCAATTCATCTCTTTCTCAGTAAACTGTCAAGGCAGTACATACAAATAGTCAAAACAATCAGTGACTGTGGCATTTATAACACAGAATCTGAATTATTGTAAGAGAAGGTTCCAGTTTATTTTTTTACATACAATCTACAACACTAAAATATAATCTAATAAGTTAATAAATATATGGCTCCTTAGAAAATAGAGAAGAATTAGAGGTCGAATCACCTAAAGTCCTATAAAGTCTGTATTCTAACCTAATACCTCCTTCCTGTTACCTCTCCAACATGTTACCTCTCTATTCTCTTTTTAGTTAACCTCTTCCCAACCTCTCCAATATATTCCCACCTCCCTCCCAAGTTAATGGTGATATCCATTTGCTTATTTATTAAAGTTGTTGGTTTATAACCCACTAAATCAATTTAGTAATCCCACATGTGCACATGTGTAGGATCATCCACTGGTTCTTCTGCTGTCTACCAATGGCCACCCCTCCCTCTCACACACAATGTAAAATGTCACACCCTTCTTTAGCAGCCATTAACTGCCATTAGCGGCTTAGCATGGGGTAGGGCATCAAGAGCCCCTCCTTCCTCCATGATGGAATATTAAATTCACTTGGTCTTCTGTAGGTCTTATATAATAACAGCAGCTGCTTTGGGTTCACATGTACAATGGTCATGTCATGTCCAGATGTCAGAATTTCACTGCAGCCCTGCTCATTCTGTGACTTGTAGATTCTAATTTATTTCTTTCTATAATAAAATGACCACCAACTCCTAATTATAGTAAAATAATTTTGTACTTTCTTACATTCTAATTAATCTCTCTTCTGTAGCAAAATGACTAGAAATTCCTGATTAGAGTAAAATACTTTGTACTTTTAAAGTTTTTAAAGTATTTGTACATTAACGTCTATATGGTTAAATGAAGTAGGAGTGTTATCATTGTCTGATCAAATGAATATAGAAAATTGTAAGTATTTAACTTGATGGATTAGTTAATTTGCATATCCTTTTTTGTAGGATTTACTGAATTGCTTCATGAAGGCAAAGGCCCAAAACTGGATCGATTGTAAGTTTCTATTTGTTGGCTTTGTTCCCTTCTGTTCCTGTAAATGCATTTGTCTCAACTACTGCTTATATTAAGGATCTGAAGCATAATGTCAGCCCTAAAATCTAGAGATGTTATAGAACATTTTTGTTATAGTTCTTTTTAATGAGTAATAGCATGAGTATATATTTTTATTAATATATGCGTGCCATATGAAAATATCCTGATAACAGTGGTTAATCCAAAGAAATAGAAACACATGGATTCTAAGGATTATATCTGACTCAAAATTTTATTACCTATATATATTTTCCTTTTGTCAATCATTCTTCAAACCACCCCAGTTTCATAATGGGTAATTTTCCTGGCAATAATTAAAGTTAAACATTCCAAAATTATGATATATATGTATATATATTGTGTGTGTATAAAATTCATCAAACTTGTATATTATACACTGAGGTTCTGAGGTTATTTCTTTTCATGAACTTTCACTTTTTCCCTTACAGAAAATTCATTTAATCATTTTCTCTTCGTTAAAGAGGGATGTCTTTTTCAGACAGACAGGTTTATTGAATTTTGTGCTCAGTTGCTTGTTAAAAGAAGCTTGCCTTATAATTACTCCAAATCTTTAGACAAAATATTGCTGACATAATTTTACTCAACCTCCCCTCAGTGCACACATTCAGTTTAACAATGTTTTAGCAAACTATGAAATAACCATCCTTAATATGGATCCAGTAAAAGACTTTAAATTAAATGTATCTTTAAAAATCAAAACAAGAATTATGAACAAATACAGGAAACATATAACTGAAGACTGAGATTCTTGATCAAGATCTTTCACCAACTAGCAATAATATCACAAATAGCACTTGAATTTTGTTGCTCTTAATTCTCTCTCAGTGGAGCAAAACATTTAAATATATTATCTCTAACTCATTTGTAGCTTTGAAAATATTTGGCTCTAGGGTACTGAAGAAGAATTTATCTTCATCACCCTCCCTTCCACAGTAGAAGTGGAAAGTAGAGGCCAAGATTTGAAGTATCAATATTGAAAAATCTTAGTCTTCACCTTTCCCATGTATTTATACCTTATGAACTAACAAAAAGTGAACTCCTGTGCAAGCAATACCATGGCTTTATAATTCTGTTAAACTGTTCTGTTTAGCAATGTATTCCTAAGAAATACCTGACCATAAGGAAAATGTACAACTTTGTATAGCTTTGTGAAGAAATACATAGTTTTTTCTACATAAACTCTTCAAGTAAAGCAGCCTAATATGAACAGCTTATTCAACTTAAACCTGCTGGAAAAATTGCTTATATTAGTAGAGCCCTGAGGGAACAGTAAATTGATAATTAGAGTAATTTTTACATGCTGGACTCCAGAGTGATAATTTTTTAGAAATGCAGCTATAAACATACAGTGACATATATGACAGTTATAATTAATATAATATAAGCATTTTTTAAAGTCTAATAGTAGGAGTAGTTTTGTCTTGACCTTGTATAAAGCAAGGGTTAAAATACTCAATACATTTAAGTATTCCAAGACCAAACTTCCATGTTCATTATACTGACATACTTTAAAAGCATTTTTAAAAAGAACTAAATTCTTTTTTAGGTGACATTCGTAATCTCATTTACACTGATATAAATGCTTGATTTATATCCATTAACTTACTCTTATTAAAACTAGTCTATTTACATTTCAGATCTGCCCTTGCAGACTTTGGCTATTTACTAACAAGTAGAATAAGAGAAAATGAGCTTCTGAGGTTAAAACCTTTTATGTCATCCATTGCACAATAGCAATAAAATATTAACAAGTAGATGGAATTTTGATCTAATATAGTAACAAAACAATAAAATACAAAAGACCAAAGAAAGGGAAATGCATAAATATATATGAGAAAATAGAAATTTTTCATAGAGGTCTCAATAAATTGTGAGTTACAAGGCTAAGTTTAAGACTGTAGTAAATATTATGTGTTTTAAATTCACCTTAAAATTGTCAACCAGAATTTTAACAGAATGTGTTTGCAAGCTAACTCTCATTCTGAAAATTCATTTAGGGGGAAGTAATGTAAGAAAAAACACATAAAATTGTAATGAAATAAATATGCCTTAATGAATCATAAAAATATTTTGAGTTTATGATATTATCCAGAAAAGATAAAATATTTTCATATTTTACCGAAAGAAATTAGAAACCCAGAAATAGACTAAATATACAAAATAATTCCAAATATAATAATGATAATACTTGTAATCAGTGGAGAAGACAGTACACAACAAATGGTTTGGAGCAGCTGTCAGAACATTTGAAAAAAATAAATATCCCAAGATCCCTATTCTATATGATACACAGAAACCAAGATGTCTTAGTGATTTGAATGTAAAAATGAGTAAAACTAACAAAAGGAGGAAACATATACTTTTCATATCTATGACTAAATAATGGAAAAGTATATACACACACAGTACCATAACCAAAAGTATAAGATAGATAAACTTGGGGAAGATTTTGAATATATATGACAGATAGACGCTTAATATCATTAATGTATCAGTGAACTTAAAAATTAGTGGAACAATGGGAAAAAAGCAAAAGAAATGCTTAAGACTATTGACAAAATAATAAATACAATAACTATAAGTAAAGAAAAAGGAAAATATTACCATTTGTAGTGAGAGGAACAACTGTCGAATACTGATGTGTTGTTAGTTTATTGTAAATTTGTGAAAATGATAAGATAATTTAAAGTCTACATTTCTATGATATCCAAACTAACATTTTATTCCTGTTTGTTTTTGCAGCGTCTTGGTTTAGACATCTCTTGACCACATTTTTCTCTGAGGAAAACCGTCGTTCTTGGTTTAGAACTCGATTCTGTTCAATAGCCTGTACTGACATAGGCCACGGGAGTTATGAGGGATGGATTTGGCATAAAAGAGAGTCTAGAGGAATCTCCTTTTTCAGTTGGAAAAAATGCTGGTTTATTTTGAAACACGCAACTCTCTACTGGTTCTCACATCTCAATGTAAGTGCACCAGGAAGCAAGGAAAGTCCATTGCTGAAAATAGTCCTTTTTGTTAGTAGTAAGGGTATACACTTCTGGAAAATGAAAAGATGCCCATAATACCAAATGTCAGGAATAAGCTATTCATGCTACTTACTGCTTTTTAAAAAGCTGTCTACGTTGTCCAGTGTGTATAGTAAAGGTATTTTAATTAATGGTTTTTGAAATCAAAAATACCTGGTTTTACTCCAAGTCCTTTCACTTACTAATTTCAAGAAGCCAAGCACATTATTTATCTTCTTTAAAGCCCTCTTTCTTCTAAATGAGTCATAATACTTGCCAAAATTTTCATCTTTCTCTTTTGTATTGATCCCCTCCCTCTCAACTAGATCCATCTCACAAACATTTTTAAAAGTGCTAGAGCCCTTTCATTTAGGTAAAAGTGAAATGAATGAGGTGACTTTTACTGGTTATAAAGCCAAACAAATGCCATTTTTAGAGGATGGAATTGGCAAGGTCATGAATTTTGTTTTGGACATACTAAGTAAAGATGCTCTGAAATTTATTCCATCAGGGAGAGGAGTCTAGAGCTTTGATTAAAGCTTCAGCATTTGCATTAAAACCCTGTCATGTAAAAGCATGCTTTTTGGTACTATTCTTTATGTTGTTTTCATTAACTAACTTCAATTGTTTTCTAGTCTCTCTTCCCACTACTCTGTTGGAACAATTTTCAAGAGATAACCATGAAACTTTTATGTTGTTAATTCCAAAAGACACATTCAGACTTCATTTTACTTGACCTTTCTTCATATTCTTCATGTCACTCCTCAGCATGTTTTATTTCAAAATTGTCATATTTTCTAAGACACCTAAGTTTCAGTTTTCAGGAATCAGCTCTAGCTTTCCTTATTGTTATACACATCTTTCAACCATTATTTTCCAATTTCCTCAATTACTATATGTATATGGAAGTGACATATAATTATTTCTATACCCTAAATTTTTCTTCATATATCTGATATTCATGAGTGCAATGATCTCTCCATTAGGCTATCTCAAGATTTCCCCTATTCAACATGTACAAAGAAAAATTCATTATACTGCCCTCGTTAAAATGATCATTTCCCCATGGTTTTCTGCTAAGGAGTTATCCTCAGATCGTACTATTTGCTTCATACAGCATATCCATACCTAGTCTCACCAAAATTATTCCCTAAGTATCTGTTAAATTCATCATTTTCCCTCCATTTCCACTGTCTAGTCCAAGCCATTGTTAGCTTTCAAACAATTTCAATAGCCTCCACTCTGTCTCTTTATATTCACTTTGGCCTCTCTCTAGCTTACCACTGTAATTAGGGGATCTTTTTAATATAAATTTTGCCATATCCCTACTACCTCATTTCACCCCATTTTCTTATTTGTCTCCCTATTGAAAACCATTACTAAAACTTTCCATTACTATTACATAAAAAATGTCCTTAACATGGACTCTCAGGCCTTATATGAATCCTGTACCTCTTCTGTTATATATTGTAGTATCCACCCACCCTATGATTTTTACATTCCAGCTACACTGACCACTTCTATTTTTTCTAATGTGCTGTGCTCCATCCATTTATGAACTCTTTACATGTCTCTCACTTCTTTGTCCATAATCCCTGATTGTTAATTTCATTAACACTTCAATCTTCTTTCAGCTCCTACTTCAATGCATCACCTCTTCTTAAATTTTATTTAAATTAAAAACAATCTTATTTTATACTCCAATCCCAGTTCCCTCGCCCTCCTGTCCTTCCACTCTCCCTACCATCTCCCCATCCCACCCCCATCCACTCCTCAGAGAGGGTGAGGCCTCCCATGAGGGATCATCAAAGTCTGTCACATCATTTGGGGCAGGACCAAGTCCCTCTCCCCAGTATTTTGACTGAGAGAGTACCCCTGCATAAGGAATGTGCTCCAAAAAGCCATTTAACACACTAAAACCCAGACTAACAGCTGGGGAACCAACATAAGATCTAACTAGGCCCCCTGAATGTGAATGCATTACCTTTTTAGGGAATCCTTTCATGATCATACTCCACCAATTAAACGCTCATTAGCTCTCAGCATTGTATAACTTTGATCGCAGCATTTGACCCCTTGAAATTCGACTTTATTGTTCTTATATTAAAACTGTCTCTTCCCAGATCATAAGTTGCTACAAGTACTATGTGTGATTTGATTCCCTGATGTCACCTAATGACTTTAGTAATTTATCTCCCATAGGTGGCACAATTTATGTATTCAAATATAGTAGCAGAATCAATGACTATTTGTGATAATGGAGTTAACATATATAAAGAATATGAATATTATTTCCCATCATATTCTCCTATTCCCTTTTTCTCAAATAATGTAGCATTCTTTTCTTTTTCAAATTTAAAAGTTTTCAAGAGCAAATATGAAATACCAAATCATTTCATATTCTGACTAGACATGATGAATATCATATATGTTACCTCTGTTGAAACTAAACAGAAAACTATAGTAGATTTTATCCATCATGGTGTTTAGTTTACATAAGAATATTCTTCCAGTTAATTCATTTACTATAAGATGATTCAATGTTCTGGCACCTTTTTAATGATGTCACTTTTTGAGTAGTTTTCTAAATGATCCTTTATCAAATTGCTAGTAAATGTATAGGTCTTAATTTGTTTTTAATTTCAAGAACACTAGGCTTATATATTCTCATAATTTTAATACTTCTGAAGTACCATTTCCCTTGTGAGTTACAAGTGTTGCAACCTAGCTATAATCTGATCCTTTTTTATCCTTGAAGAAATTGTGACCCAGAAAAAAAGCGACCTGGTCAACATGGCAGATTTATAATCACTACAACTGAATAAATTCTATATACATGTTGGGAGGTGTTCAACCTTGTGTCAGTTCATGAAAAATGTCTTACAAATTTGATGGGCTGCTTATGTTATAGAAAGGACACAAGAAATTTCAGAATCTGCTCTGTGAAGCTCATATGCTAATCAATTTCATTCTTAGATGTTTCACTATTAGATGTTTTAGAAGCTTTGAAGTTGAAAATGATTGCTACATGTAATCATCATTCTATGTGAGACAACTGAAGGTTTCGTAACGTTCTAAATGCTGCTATAACTGTTCTCTTTGCTGGCCTTCGTTGATATATTTTTGTCTGCTTTGAATGCCTTAATGATGGTGAAAGCTGTTTGCATATTTTGAAATAATTTTGTATAATCATTAATGTAAAATCTGTTGCCACCACTGCTGGTTTAATAAATGCATGGTCCATTTGCTTTGCAGAAAGCTATTTCAAGTGCATGCTAAGCAAACAGCATTCTTTAATAAGCAATCTAGAAAAGTGTTGGCTGTTACAACACTGGTGACCTAGCTCTTGATTTTCCATTTCAAGTTGTAGCTCTCTCTCTCGCTCTAGCTCTCTCTCTCTCTCTCTTAAATCTTCCACTTATATTTCTTCATTCTTTCCTAGGACACCAAGGCAGATGGTTTCATATACCTACCAGAATTCCGAATTGACTTAGCTCCACACTGCCGAAGAGAACAGTAAGTAATAATAGATTTTAAATTCAGAGTACAAGTTAATACGCTAACGTGGAGTTATAACAAAAGTCCAGTTTATAATTTTTAAATTCTTCTTGTAGTTCATTTCCTGATTTTTCAAACAAATAGTGTTCTGTGATTATACTGTGATTAAAACTTATAATTAATAGATTACACAGGATTAACATAATTAAAATATTTTCTAATTATGATACTACTCAAATTCATTGTTTACCTTTAATTATAAACTATTCTAAAATTTGAATATTTTGTGTAATAATCATAATATTACTTTATTTTTCACAAATCTTTCTAAATTTTCCATAATTATAATTGTAAAAGTCAAAGCTGTTCACTCTGGGTATTATAAATGTTTTAAATTAACATGTTAGAGGGATATCAGTATATGATTAGAAAATATTGATCAGATAACTAGAAATAACTGGGTAGCATAATTTTTATTATGTAAGTCAGATTCTTATTATAGAATATCTGGAGGAACCAAACTTCAGAAGAGATGAACAGACTTCATAGTCCAAGGAGGAGAAATAAATCCAATTAAAGAGATATTAAAGAGATATAAAAATAGGTTGAATGGTGCAAAGTTAAAGTAACTGTCATACATTAGTGAGAGTGATAGTGGTGCGATTATTTAATTAACTATTTTTAATTATATATGTGTGTGACCTCTTGGGTGTATTTATGAAAGAGTAAACCAACCTGATGGGTTAGGAAAAGTGTGGGAATCTCACAAATACTATGGCCTATAGAATGGGAGGCCATATACTACTATAAATTTAGTCATATATACTTATGGATTCTTAGACACTATTTTTTGTTATCCAGAAAGTTAAGAACAAAATTATATTAACAAAACTCTACAGTAACCTGTTTTTAAAAGGCTGGAAGAGAGGTTGTTTCAAAGTCTTTCCCCCTTTCATAAAAGAAACAAACTAAGACATTCTGACAGATTCACTAAAGGAACATAAGCTAAAACTAAATATCTGATGGAAAAATAGTAGCACTCGTCTAGATGTCTGACTTAGCCCAGGCAGTAAATAGCAGTAAGAAGGCAAGTATGTAATACCTTTGTTGCTAGGTTACTAAGAGAGTTTCAGAAATTAAGAAGGCAGTGATAACAGGAAATTGTAGCATATGAACCATACATGGGTAAATGTCAGTCCAAAAATTGTTGTTTCCAAAAATTGGTGTTTCTTTGGTGACTTTCCATTCTTGAATTGGAATTTCATATCTGAATTTGAATATATGCCATATAACATCTCAACATATACAGACCCAACATGATTGAATTAGTAGGTTACAAACTGAACTAGTAAGAGAAAGTGAAAAAATGTACTGTGTGCTTTTATGCATTTAAAGCAATATCAAGATCATGCTTCATATGTAGTTTTTGCTACAATAAAACTTAGAAACCCAAATTTTTAATTCAGTTCCAACTATCAGGTGCTCTAAAAAGGTGTTTGAAAACTTTATGCAATGTTGCTGTTGCTAGCCATGAAAACTAGTTGAAAAAATCTGATCCTATGAAATCCCTGGTTCCTACATTTTCAGTACACACTCTCTGGCATGTGCTGCTAAACAATTGGCCTGTTATGTAATATAATACATCTCCAGGAGGGTGTTGTCCTACTTCTACAGATGAGATGACTGAGTCGTTAAATGTACTTGCTCAGGTCTTTCATTTAGTAACTGAAAGTCTGCTGGATTTAAGGAACCTTTAACATTTTGTGAAGTCTGGAAGCAAGTGCTCTACTGCTTAGCTACAATTCCAGTTCCAAGTTTGAACTCTTAGTTTATTATCACACTGCTAGAAAGTTTAAATTAACAAAACTTAGGGATTCCCTTAAAAGAAGTAATTTGGATTTAAGGATTTAAGTATACTTTGTAGATCTACTGCTTTACAAACTTCCAAAGAGGTTTTCTTGATTAAGGTCAACAGCTCTATTTTATAGATGAGTAAGAATAGATGTTTTCTACCAGTTCATGAGAATATTGTCTGGCACAAAATAACCATTTAACACATATCTTGAATAGAAAAGAACAAAATTAACTGTAAAATCATACTACTTGAAAGTAATATCCAAATAAATGAAGCAATATCAGGATGATTCTTTCTTGCATGAATAGGATGAAATTGCAGAATCAGGATGATTATAGAAAAAAATTTTATGGAAGTGGATATCAGAAAACTCTCAGCTTTGTAAAGTGACTTATAAACTCTACAAGAAAGCAATAAAAAGCTTATGTTGCTGGAGATATGATCAAATTATATTACATTTACTAGATAATACTGTGATAGGAGGTATACAAGAGTTTAGTTTTGACCAAAAGAAACTAGGTGTTATAAACATCTCATAATATTACAGAGTGCTTTGTATTACAACAATTACATTCAAATTGATGCTCTCAGAGTTCTGTCTTAACAGGATATTTTAAATTGTTTTTCCTTTTTGTCTTTATTTGCATCATTTTTCTACTAGAAAGTATATATCTTATGCAAGGAAATTTAAACCATGAAATAGATGAATTAATGAATGAGAGGTATATAGAAATTTTCTGCTAATTCTAATAACATTTAAATACATAAAAACAACATGCAAGCAAAGGATAAGAATTGGAATTATATTAGTATATAAAGGTTAATAATATTAATGAGTAAATTAAACAAAGTAAGATCCTCAGAAAAATTCTATTTTTATACTAAGGCATAGTTTAAATTATTGTCAAATTGACACTAGTCTTTACGTACTGTCCTTCATTCCAGACAGCTAGACAATATATAGGTAGGTAAATAGGTAGATATATGGTAGATAATACATGGATGGATGAATATAAATTATTTCAATGTCATAGATACATCATTTGCTTTTGAAAAGGCATAGATCAAGAGAAAGAAACAATCCACATTTATCTGTTTCTACATATCAATAGAATAATACTTAATGGAATTTAGAAGAACTATCTGAGAGAAACTTAATTATTCTGAAGAAGTTTAGAATCTAGTTACTAATTCTGTTATTTTAAATCACCCTAGTTCACCAGTTTGCTTAAAAACAATAGGGTTCCAAATGTTTTTTCTTCATTCTTTTCTCATATAATACATCCTGACCACATCCTCCCTTCCTTCTCTCCCTAACAGTCCCCCTCCCTCTTTTAAAAATCAGAATATTCTCTGAGTGACTGATAAAAAAATCGGTGGCTTCCTTAAGTTTCTGTTATTAACATATTACCTTTGGCAAGTTATGTAATTCCTTAAGACTTCATTTTACTTAGATATATATTAGAGATTTTACTAGATGACTACTTCAGTCCTTTCAGAATGTTATAGTATTAAATGTTCTAATAGTTGTTAGAAACAAAAGTAAACTATCTGCTTTTTCCCATAGTGCTTTCCAAGCCTCCCATGCAAGAATCAAGGATTTCTACTTTGCTTGTACATGCTTTGATGAAATGAATTTGTAAGTAGTTTATGTTCATAAATTCATTTAATGTATATTGAGTAACAAATTCGTTACAGGTATGTCCTTCAATAATAGAAAATAATGGCATTTTAAAAATAAAAATTATTTCATCCTAATGTGATTTAGTGTATTAGAAGGCCAGGGTGCCAGAATATGAAAATAAATGGTAATGTGAGACAGAATAAGACTTATAGAGAAGGTACATTCATACTTTGAAGTGTTACGAACCATAAAGCAAATAACTTTATTTCAAGAGGCAAAGAAAGCAGATAAAAGCTTTTCAAAAATAGAATCTTAATGAGAAGAAACTGGAGAAAGTGAGTAAAGGGCTCACAGAAGGATAGGTAAAAAGACTTACCTGGACCATAATGGTGGCAGTGAAATTGAAAATTAGTAGCTATATTCAAATACCTTTAGGAGGTAAAAGCAACTCATTTTTATGAGATTTGAAAGTATTAAAAGTGTCAAGGATGACAACTAGGTTTCTGGTCTATAAACCAAGATGAATTTCATCATAATTTTCAATAAGATGTGGGATAATGGAAGAGTATAATGTTTATGAGGCAAGAGTCTGAGTTTTGTCTAGGAGTACACAGAGTTCAGGGTATCTTCATATATCCTGTGGTGTTTGGAGTAGACAGTTCCTTTGAGTGGAGCTCAGAGTAAAAGATTCAACTTAGATATAACTGTATGTCATCTGCATTGATATGATATTTGAAGTCATTGGCATAGATGAGAACAAACTGGACAGTGGCTCTTGAGATCAAAATAAACTGTGGATCCTACTAAATGCAGAATTCTGAGTTCCATATCTGATTCATACAATCACTCATTTAACGAAGTTCTGGGTGATGCTGAGGACTCATAATTCGAGGACTTTGAGAAACACTGGCTTAAAAGGGAGCGTAAGACTGATACAGAGTGAGAAAGGAGCCCTGACAATTAAACATTTAATTGCTGATTATAACTTGCAAAACAAAAATTCCAGAAATACAGGCATAATTGCAATGATTCTAAACACAATTATTGTATGTACTCCTCAGATTCTGTAGCAAAGACAGTATAATGCCCTTAAGGAAGAAAAAATGTTATGCTTTCTAACTTAGGGATTTTTACGACGACAACTTATTTGCATTTATGATGTTGGCCCCAGAAGTTTTATGTAAATAATTGTAGATATAAGCATAAGTGCTTATTTTCTGTATATTAAACTTATCTAAAAATATACCTATTTTAAGGACTAAATGATTTTACTCAGAGCTGTCTGATATCTATGTTTTCTCAATGCAAAATTAAAAGACAAAATAGCTTTAGGTACCTTATAAAATATAGCCATTCAGGATTCATCAATAATCACAGTGTTTTTGCTGTCATTTATGACTACAGAGAAAATAAGATATTCTGATACTATGGTTTTGTGCTGTTGAAAATCTTTGGAAAATGGTTGACACTAACTGCCTTTATTGAAATGGAAGTCCCGCTGCATCTTTCAGGCTGATATTGTTTTTTCTAATAAAGAAATATGTGTCATTAGATTAGTTTTACATTAATTTGCAAGAATCTTGAAAGAATACACAATACATTGAATAATCATTTCTTATCTTCATGATTCTACTGTCCATAAACTGACTACAGCTCTGTACCACAAATTAGATGAAAGTTTATTATTCTTTCAAGTATATCACTTTTTAATCTCTTTATATATAAAACACCATATCTATAGAAGTAGATGGATGAAGTTTTCCATTGTAACAAAAAATATTCCATGTGAATAAAACATGTTCTACCATACATTAATTCCAACTTAAGAAAGTATTTTTTGAAATTTCAAACTGTGTCCTACAAATTTTAAAGTGAGTTGACTAACAATGAACTTTTCTCTACAGTAGGCTCTTATATTCATGCTTAATTAAAATTAAACTAAATTGCCCTTAATTTCAAAGAGAATGTTGCTTACATTTGTATTCACCATACCAGAAGGAAGGGTTATTCTTCCCTTAGTGCGTTTATTATATCCCACTCTCAATTTTAATTATGTTGAATTTAATACTAGTACATTGCTACTGTCTATAATTTATGCCTAAAAGACTTAAGCACAACACTCTTATTGTCTGAAGGAAAAAATAACCTCCTTCTTGACAGCACCTAACTAATAACTTGTTATAAGTAGAAAATAAAATTTTGACAATTTTCAGAGAGGCTATGTGATTTTTCCCAGAAAAAAAGCATTCTAGTTAGTATGCCTAGAAGCCTCCTGAAAAGGCACTAAAAAATATACTGAAACAATAAGCGTATTTTATGCTGTCAAGAAAAAAAGTAAAAGAAGATTGGCATTTGAGAGAAAATAGGGAATAAAGGTGGTGTTTAAGTATAATCATGCCTGTTGCCCTCTTGTCTTCATGAAGAAGAAGATGTGGTGCTCCAAAAGAGTTAAATCCATTAGATGTTTGTTAAATGACACACAAAAGAGTTAAAATGTGTCATTAAATACAAAATGACTAAGAGAAACAAGCCTGAGACATTTGGTTGCACTAAATAACATCAAAACAATCAACTGTTTCAAAGCAAAAGTGTTTTAACCCTGACAATTAACATGTGACTCATTCTCCTTACCTTTTTATGTTGAAGAGCAGCCCAAGTGAATGTATTCCATGGCATTCTTTCCATAACAATTACATTTTCTAGTGAAAGAAATACTAAAATTACTCTGTTATAAATCTTTTTGGTTAAATTTAAAATATTCAAATTACTATGTCATAATGTGCAACAAGAATCCAGAAATTTTCATAACTTTTTTTTCAGAAATTTTATGTAATATAAAAATTTAACAAGTGTCATTTAGTGAGAAAGAAGTAGTTATAGCCAGTCTATTATTATTTTAATTATCATTATCTTATTTCCCTTCCCCAAAAAATCACAGATTGTGATACTATTTAAGAAGTGAAGGCAAAATAAGATAAGATTGTTTCAATTAAGATGTTTGTCTACATTGAAATATAATTGATTTCAAGCATACACATAGAAAATGAAATTTAAAACATTTAAAGTCATCAATAGCTATACAACCTTTAACTTGTCCTATCTCATATGCTATCTGAAGCTAAGCAGGGTAGGGCCTGGATAGTACTTGGACGGGAAATATTGAAAAACCATGATTTATGTTACAAGTTTTCTTTTCCTTTTTCTTAGTGAAATATAGCACACTTTGAAAACAGAAATAACTACTTAACAAAAATACACTTGGTTCAAGAGATCCCAACTATAATGTTGTCTAAATCAATGTAGTTTCTCTGATCTAAGTTACGATATAACATCTAATATGAAAAATATTCTAATGTCAATTTGATTTTACATTAATATGAAATCATATTTTGAGTAATAGTAGATAAATGGACAAAAAGAGTAGCCTACATTAATGTAATTTTTGTCTGACAAATAACTCTTAATTTTTATATATAGTTTAAATAACAAAAATGTTCACTATTTTATTTATTCTTTATGTCTTTCACATCGTGTATCTCTATCACATTCATTTGTCAACCCTTTGTGTCTGCACTCTTCCTTGCAAACTCCCCACCAAAGTAAAATAAAGCAAATTTTAAGAAAACAATAATAGGAAAAACAAATCTTGTCATGTAAGCTATTGTGTGACACAGAGTCATACAGTAAACCCTTTTAACCATATATATTTACTTGCATGAGTTAATTGCAAAAAGTCATTGGACTGGTTTGAGGCCTCTGGTTTCTGCTGGGACCTCACTGGAAGTCCTCTTGGTTATCCTATTGTTGCCCTGTATTGTGGCAAAAATATCCTGCAGCTTTTGGTCTACAAGACCTGTCCCTTCAGTGCTCCAGCAAATACAGATGGAGTGGATGTTGGGGTGGGCCAACTCATAACCCTGGTTCTGGGCCTAAGCAGCTGCAGGATAGTTTCAGGTTTGTTCAGCCCACCAGCTCTCCCTTGTCCTAGCCATCAGGGTGAGCTCTCCTGCATTGCCCTGGCTAGGTCATCCCTCACAGCTATGAGCAAGAGGCTGGGCCAACTCTACTATGTTGCCTGGGTGAGGTGTAGGGGCCACTCTCCCAAGTGCTGCAGCTGACTAAGGGCCATGACAGCTCTCTAGGTCTTATGATAGAATTTGCTGAAATTTTGTTAAATATTTTAAAATTTGAAGTCAATTCTGTTACAAATTTGGTCATCCATAAACCAATTGAATATTAACTTACTCTTTCCATCCCAATAGAGAAAGAGCATAGAATTTGAGATCAAAGTTTTAGCAATAGTAAATTCTTTCATTATTCAAAAGCAGTGTTTCAAAAGGTAGGAATGGAATTATTATAAATTGAAAACTCCAAATGGTGGCTACTATCTGATGAAGTATATGGAAATATATCAGTTTATCATGCAGAATCTTTCAGAAGACTCTGGTAAACCTTATTACAGCTTACATATTACAATTAAGTAAATCTGGGTAAATCCCCAAGAGTGATACTATTAAATCCTTAATGGAACAAGAAATAAACCGTAGTATGTAATGTTGTTATGAATTAATAAGTGCTTATTCCTTTTATAACAGGTATCGCCATGATACCTCGGGAACTTAAGAGACATATTAGATACACACACAAAAAGACAAGGCTAGAAGTTTTATATAGAAAATTTCACCAGAGTACATATGTATAAAAGATTGACAAACATTTTTTATCACAGATTATAGGCTTCATATACTGAGAACTCTTTTTCTCTTGTTCTTCAGTAAGCATATAAGTCAAATTCAACTTTAAGTCAAATCTAGTGGGAATAAAGGTTAGAAATAAAATTGACTTATTTCTAATTTCTATTTTTATGTTGGTTCAAAGTAACACTTCAATAATACCAAAAAGTATCTATAAATATGTCGAATTAAACAATTTACTATTAAGCAGCCCATAAATTAAAAAAGAAGTCAAAGGTGAAGTTTAAAATACCTTGGTATGATTTAAAATGAAAACAATAT